CGACTTCCACTTTGGCGCTTTGTTTCGGGACCATATAGAAAGCACCATGTCTCGTCTCCAGTCATTATAGATTTTGTGAAGTTGAGGATTTTTGCAGCAAAGTTAATCATTTTATGACGCTGCGTTATTCCATTACAATTTTCGATATAATTGTTTGGGCTGTCACGTGAAATGTCATAACTTAGCCATCTTACATGGCACAGCGTTCAAACTTCGCTTGGTGTATAGAAGACATTTCCACTTTTCTAACGATATATATAGTTCCCAAAAATAGCGCCACGCGTTTAGGCGAGAGATTTAAAGTCTGGATGGAAAATTGTCGGACTGTGTATTAGATGTAATATAGAAAAATTAGGTTTATTTGCTCCATCCACGTCTCTCATCACTGCACTTTCATATTCAGATAATGTATACTGCGTAATTAATTTTATTATATAATATACAGTAAGGTGTTAAAAGTTATTACACTTTATACTAAAATTTTGATTTTTAGACAAAATTTTATAAACTATACTTATTATATGTGTCGTTTACTGTACATATATACATAGCTTATTGCACAAAAGTTATTTAGCAAAAGTCTTGTTAATTTCTTGAAGATTTTATGCCATTAGTGCAATCGGCTCTTGTACTTTTTCTTTCGTACGTTTCTTTTCTTTCGTCTTCTCTTCTTCCTCCTCCTCCTCTGTTAAATTCTTTGGCACATCTGGTAATAAAACGTCTTCTGGTACTTCGGGAGCTTTCTCATTGATATCTGCTTCCATCAGTGCATCCAATTCTGCCTCAATCTCGCTTTCATCAATTTCCTCTTCCACAGCAAGCGTTGACGTTAATATCTCATCTATTTCTCTTTGCTTCTCAATGCCCTCTTTCGTCTCGTCCATAACTTTTTCGATTTCATCGATAGACAACAAAGCGTGTAATTGCTTCAACGCGGTATTGCCAACTTTTAGGCCGTCGAAAACTTTCATCTCAACTTGAGCAAATTCTAAATCGTGGACCATGCGCTCAAGATTTTCTACCTGGCCGTCCGCACGCGACAGAACTTGCTCTTGATACTTCTTCTTGCGTAACAAAAGTAACGCACGACTGTAAGAATTAAGAATTACATAATAATTTAAACAAGAAATTATTCAAATATAAAATTTATCTTAAGTTTCTAATAATTAATAAACATAAAATAATAAACATAATGTGCAACAAATTAATGTTTCTTTTCTACTTTTCTGATGACTAAATATGAGGTACTAACTCTTTCTTTCCATTTTTCAAAAGTTCCTTCGCGAGCAATCGTTCTTTTTCCAAGTTTTGCTCAATCTTCTTTTGGTACTGTTTAATTTTATCTCTCGTCTGTTTCACTTGCTGCGGACAAAATATGCGTTTGAGGTTATAATATGCGCTACGTACTTCAATCGTTCGTACGTCGTGTGTTCAACATAATTTTGCTTTGCACACGTAGCGAATGAAATAATTACTAACAATACGTATTGCTGATAGCGTGTTAAGTACGAGCAACGATAAGACAATGATTTGACAGTTTCAAGAGTAGCGCTACGAGGGAAAAGGTTAAGACTACTCACCAGAATCGCTTTGTCCTGCTGGGTGACGCGGCTCGGTTGTTTTTTCTTCGAGAAGAAGATCCCCATCGTGCCCGCGATGTCGCCAAGCGCGAGCCGCGAGCCGAATTACACTATTGACTCGCGTATCACGTCACGTCGCGTCGCCAGAAGCGTAGCGTCAATCCTTGTCGCGTGCCGGGCGCCTGCCATGTTGGAGTCGTTCGATACTCGACGCTCGCGATTCTCGAGATTGCGATTCTCGAAAGGCGCCGCCTACGTCACGTCGTTTCACGCGACGCGGCGAAATAAAGCATGTCAATAAAATAGAATGATTAATGATAAAAAGTCAAACTTTAATTTACTTGCTATACAGTCTAATATAATTTGTCAGCCAAGTTTTATATTTAGCAGTTATACGTATAATTTATATTTCAGCATTTTACTTTTTATTCCATTGCCATGTGTACGTTTCATGATAAGGGCATACATATTCAGCATAGACATCTGCGGGATGCGAAACGAAGAAGATTGGTCTTTGGTTCATGTCGCTACGTCGATTTTTCGCCGAGTTATAGCGTTTTAAAAATCGGGCGCGCGCGCACCATTCATGAATGAAGGCTGAACGAGTTTTACGCGACGTAGTACTACGCCTACTACGTCCCCAAAAACTGGCATAAAATCATACGAGGCACAGGTGTTCTGTAGTAAACGTTGCCGCGCGAGACAACGCGCTAGACGCCGCGTATACGCGGCGTCTGCTGCTTCTGAATGAGGATTAAGATCGCGAGTCGATATAATCGTCAATAGCTTCGCACAGAAAAATCGTAGGAAGATGATCCTGGTCTCGTTGGAAAGCTAAGATTTCAGCGCTTCTAACGAGATAAGAATGGCTTATCTTCGATCATTAGTTTATGAGATATGATTTAATATTTCCGAAAATAAAATTGATTTTCTTCCGTAATCGAGATCGCGAGTCGATATAATCGTGAATATCTTCGCACAGAAAAATCGTAGGAAGACGATCTTGGTCTCGGTGGAAAGCTAAGATTTCAGCGCTTCTAACGAGATAAGAATGGATCATCTCGGATTATTAGTTTATGAGGCATTTGATAAATTCCGAGAAAATTGATTTTGTCCCAAGATCGAGAGTGCGAATTAATCTTTCGATTGGATGAATCTCCCTCACGTCGTGCATTAAATAGCAACCCTAATTTATGTTCATTCAATATTCATTTTTCTATATATACACATATGTAATTGCACAATTTCTTGTTGATAATCCCCTCCTCGGGTACTACCTTGTGGTGAAGGGGCTTAAGTACCCTGAATGGTTACTCTCTAAAAATCACTCAGTGGTTTATTACTGAAAACAATTATGAATATTCACTGATTTACAGTAATGATGCACCGATGAATTTCGAAACATTTTCTCGATTGAACAGAATTAATCGTTAATTTAATCAATACCAATGAGTCCGCGGAATAATACGCAAAACGTAGCAACAGTCACGGAACAAAGTAATGTACAATAAAATATTAAGTACAGAATTTTCCATTGCGTAGGCA